TTTGAATAAAAAATAAGCATTTTATTGAAAAATGACCTTTCCCTTTTTCTATGATACCAGTAAAAACGAATTTTTTTGACAAAGGAAAGAAAAGGAAAAAAAAGAATGCGGAGTTTTGTAGCTGATGCACCGAAAGAACATGTCATCTTTGTTGTGACACTCGCAAGCTGGGCTGTTGCTCGAATTGCCTGAAAGCCCGATATTCCGCCATATAATTTCTTCCTTTCTTTTCCTTTTTAGGCCTTTCCAGTCAAACTTTGAATGAATGAATCAAGTGAAATTCGGAAACTCATCATTGGCTGCACAAATTGGAATTAAATTTCAAAGTGATGCGGAAATCACTGTTTGGTCGAAGTTGTTAGTTGATAATTTGGCTGCATTTGATGGGCTTGCAAAACTACCTGATACATATCAAACTAAACTTCCTTGTTCCAATGATCCAAATTATAACAATCGGAAATATACAATTCCGTCGGTGGAGGAGGACAAAAATAATGTCTGGTTCGTTCGGACTCATATCATCTTGTATCCTGAGCTAGCCAATGTAGATTCGGACACTCCAGAATTACCCTTATTAAACAAACGAATTACATTGACAGATAATATTTGCTTGAAAGATGTTCCCATGCTCAATGGGACCAGTTTTATGGAAGGATGTATTTGCGATGAAAATGCCACTATTGTTACAAGATTATTGAAAGCTGGTGCCATCATTGTCGGGAAAGCAAACTGCGAGTACATGTGCATCTCAGGCGGCTCCCATACCAATAAATCTGGCTATGTACAAAATCCACACGCCTCCGGTTACATGAGTGGAGGTTCTAGCTCTGGCTCTGCTGTTCTATTAGGAGATCCAGCAGCTCAAGTCGATATGGCCATCGGTTGTGATCAAGGTGGAAGATTCGAATTCCAGCCAGTTGATGCGGTTGCTATAGTATGAAGCCCACACACGGATTAGTGCCCTATACAGGAATTATGTCATTAGAAAGTACTGTGGATTATGCTGGGCCTTGTACAAAAAATGTGGTTGATAACTGTAAATTATTGCAAGTTAGTCAAGGATACGATGGATTCGATCCTCGATCCAGATCATATGCGAACGATTATACATTGGAAAAGACAAATTATCTGAAAGTCATCAGACTTGGTATCAAAGGACGCAAGATCGGTTTGGTTCGCGAAGGTTTTGAACTACCTAATGCAGAAACGGATGTCAATGAGCTAGTTCGGACTACTGCCAAAAGGTTAATTGAATATGGTGCAGCTGTAGTGGAAGAAATTACTATTCCAGAACATAAATTAGGTCCCATTTTATTGACTGGTGTGGCCCGCGAAGGCAGTATGATGTCGATACTTCATAATTCTGGTCCATCATCTTTGAATGGAAAATTTCATACGTCGCTACTAGATTATACAAAGGAAACCATGGTAGCGGCTTCACATGAATGATCGCCTAATTTGAAACTGGCTCTATTGACTGGACAATGGATTTATAATCAATATCCCGGTCACTTCTATGCCAAAACCACAAATTTGGCTCGTTGGTTGACACAGAAATATGATGAACAATTGAACATATATGATGTCTTAATCATGCCAACTTTACCTTATAAGGCGACGAAATTGCTAACAGAGAAAGAAGCCAGAGACCCAACTATTGTCAAGCAGAAAGCTTCTGAAATGGGTGCTAATGTAGGTGTCTTTAATGTTACTCGTCATCCAGCGATGACAGTGCCTGTTTGATTTAGTCCCAACACTGAATCAGTTTTACTTCCGGTCGGATTAATAATCATCGATAAACATTACGATGAAGCAACGATTTATCGTGTGGCCAAAGTAATTGAAGAGAGTAATTCAGATAGTTGTCACTGTTTTTATGCTATCATTTTTATAGTTGATACTTTATTATTAATGGATGAGAATATTCGCCCACCATCTCCAAGGCTAACTTGTTTGCTCACTGAGAAATAAAACACAATATCTATCAGCTATTAGTAACCATGACATTTCAGAAATACCGGACGCTCTTTCAGTTTTTGAATATTTCTCGCGTTTCTAAAACATACACCATATTCAAAATTGATGTACAGATTTGCAATAATCTCTTGCACTCAACCATGGAACAGGTTATTAAAAAAGTAAAAGATTCTTGATAAATAAATTTTAATTACATGCAAATGACATAGATATCATCGACCAAAATATTTATTTTCTCAAGAGCCATGCATTACACCATTCGTGAGACACAAAAAATATACAAGGAGGTTCGCCGTACAGCTCTCTACTTAGCTTATATCAAGAAAGCCTAACGAAAAAATATTTGAAACCCGCAGTATACTTTTGGTCGATGATATCTATGTCATTTGCATGTGATTAAAATTTATTTATCAAGAATCTTTTACTTTTTTAATAACCTGTTCCATGGTTGAGCGCAAGAGATTATTGCAAATCTGTACATCAATTTTGAATATGGTGTATGTTTTAGAAACGCGAGAAATATTCAAAAACTGAAAGAGCGTCCGGTATTTCTGAAATGTCATGGTTACTAATAGCTGATAGATATTGTGTTTTATTTCTCAGTAAGCAAACAAGTCAGCCTTGGAGATGGTGGGCGAATATTCTCATCCATTAATAAAAAATTTAAATAATTCTTTCAGCACCTGTTTCGAAAAAGAAATACGGCATTATGCTGTGGCTGTGAGCTCCGCCAAAACTATCTGCCCATTTTCTACGTGACTTGTCTCACCAGTAGGCCAGTAAAGTTCGGTTTTGTTCCTTGAACGTGAAAAGAAAGCACTGATGAACGTGAGTGTTTTTAATATGAACAATGTTCATATTGTATGAAGTAAATATAAAATTCTGTTCTTGTACAATAGTAAGAACATATATGTTTTTGCTTGGTCTTATCTGATCAATAGAAACTCTAGCGAACGATCAGGTGGTCTGCTCAGGGCAGTGACCAGATTATTGCAATGTAAAAAGGATAGCCATTGATTTTTTCAAGAACAGATCGGCGATTTCCTGACCAGGATACTAGTTTGTCCTGCAATGGAACCGAAGTTCCTTGGTCCAAACCATTTCCGCAACTGTATACTTTTTCTTTTGTTATAGTAACCCATTTGGCAGCAAATGAGCGTTGATTTTTCACTAAATATAACTTGTATTGAAGAAAGCTGTTTCGCTCGGCATACTACTAGCTGAAACTGCTACATAACGTTTTGCAATACTATTCATTCCACACAAGATCAACACCATCCATATAAAATAAAGTTCACGTTCACCAGAACGCTCGCGTTCACATTCAAGGACCACCAACGTGCTCTAGCGTCCACGTTCAAAGAAAACGCTAAAATGGAACGCTAAACATTTGCAGTTCTATTGAGCAGAACGAGAAAAAAGAAAGACGCTGTAATCTGTTTTTTCGTGGAATCGTTGAAACAGAAAACTAGAAAAACGCCTTCCTTCCCCTTTCTTTTCTCAACTCCCTACAACCAACCATAGGATGAGAGAACGTTTGTCTACGCGTTTAAAGAGAAACCGCAGAGAAACGCCATCTCTCATTCTCGAGTTTCGGCATGCTTAAAAAAATAACGTTTTGGAACGCGAAATTAAACATGGCGTTTCGTCGCGTTGGTGGAAAAAACGAACAAAAACGCTAATTTTTATTTGGATTTCAACGCATTTATAAAAGCACTCAATTTCCCTCAGTGTTTTCACAAACGCCATGTTTAATTTCGCATTAGAACACGTTATTTTTGTTGTAACCAGAAAATGAAATATGACGTTTTTTCAGTATACATAATTATGCCTTTAAAATGATGATAACTAAATGGAAAGTAATATTGTATTGTATTGAAGTGCGATTTACCAGCTTATTCTGGTGAATTGGAAGCCACGATAGCCTGTGGCACTTATCTTAAGCAGCGCTGACCTGACTACTTCCCGAAATCCAGAACGACTTTAAGAAGAGAGAAACAGAAAATGCAATTATCCTTACACTAGAAATATAAAAAATAGAAAGCTAATTTTGTTTTTTCAATAGGTTTTAGCGGATATCGCATTGACAACGTGAGATTTTGGAAAAAGTACAAAGAGGACTAGCTAAATAACGCAGTGTAACTGCACGATTTAGAGCACAGTACTCTTTTTGCTCATTGACAAAAAAAACTTCAGTCTACTAGAATGAAAACGTCAGCAGTGCATTTTCGTCATAACGGCTTTTGGTATAGATGAAGGAAAAATCAAAATTAATATGAAAGCATGTGCTTAAACACAATAATAAAGTTTGGATTTTTTCATGTTTCGTTTCTTTTCAGCTTTTGCATTTTGTTTATATATACTTACAAAAGAGTTGGATCCATATCTATGCTATACTCATGTGTTTTAATCTCTTCAGTCTAAAGCAAAGAATTAATTAAAATTAAGTGTGACAGTTGAAAAGAACAAACATACAAATAGAAGAATTGAGTTTGATATAAAAAGGTCTCGGAATAGCTTCATGCAAAAGTTAAGGTATGTTTGTTACTGGTAATACCAGAGATGAGCAGCTCCGGCTAAGTTCGACTCCAACTCAATTCCAACTCCACTTAAAGAAGTTCAACTCTAACTCCAGCTCCGTTTCAAAAAGTCCTACAGGAACTTATTTTGTCTTGATTCAATTGGTTTATTTCGCTTTTGTTTACAAGAGTACACATAAAAACACTCATTTAATAACTTAAAATTGCACTTCAACAATGTCAGTTTTGAGTGTACTTTTTGCCATTCTATACCGATGAGATCGAAAAAGAAAACCACTGTGTGAGAACACTCTGCTACCAGTGTAACAAAAAAAAGGAGAATTCAAAATTATAAAAATTTTTAACTAGAGTTGTCAAGTTGGGGTTTGAAAAAATTTGAACTCAACTCAACTCTAATTGAATAAAAACGCAACATCAACTCAACTCCAGCTCCACTGAAAAGAAGCTCATCTCCTGAGTTAACTTCAACCGCTGTTTGACTTGCTCTTCTCTGGGTAATACAAAGTTCTATGCTTATATTCTTGTTTGATCTAGGAGACGGGTTTAAACAGCTTTTCTGGCGATTTCGAATTGATTATTAGTAATTTATGTCTTAGTACTATTTAGTATGTAAAACATGTCAAGCCAAAGAATTCGATATAACGGTGAAATTCGAAAAACTCACATTGACGAAATCGATGGGACACAATGTGTGCTTCTTCAATCTGTCCAAGATCATTTCCCCCATGTCACCAGTTTCACTTTAAATGATGAGCCGATACGATTTGTCACAGACAACGACCATTGTCGATCGGCACCATGGAGAATAAATGCTTATCCTGATGACGTACTGGATTGTATCGCACCTTTTCATGCAGAATCGAATGAGACGGCAGGGAGTGCAATACAACGAATTGATAAAAGAACGGAAAAGATTTATGAGAATACATCTGTACTTTTCGAGAGAATCGAATCTATCTTGTGTCAAACGTATGAATTAGCTGAATTTACTGTTCCAAGGCTATTCATCGTTTTGCCGGAGAAACAATCTATGTTAAATTCAACAAATTTATTTCAGCATACATACAGATTATTTTTTTTGTGTGAGGATGAGAAACATCGGCATCTGTCGTTACATGAAGGATATGAACTTAAACAGTCAAGCGAATTTCTAAAGAAGTACGGTCTCTATCTGAAAGATATGATTACAGTTGTAAAATATGCAATCATTGTTGGGAATTTTATTTTGCCGCAAATGATGCGTACGACTTCAGAGACTGATATTTTCAAGGATAAATACTTTTTGAGCAGTTTTAGTAGTAAGCTTGATCAGTTGAGCGAAATTCTTGATACAGTGACTGAAGAAGACAGAGGGACGGATATGTTGTGTCAGCCATTAGAAGGAGCTGATTTGACAGAAATTGAGCATTACTTGAAAAAGTCAGATGAGCATCGTACACTTGGCAATCTCTATCGAACTACGACTGATGATGGGCACGTTAGATGGGTGTGTGTTCATCATTATAAGAAAAATTATGTCAACAAAAAGATGCAGGAGATGAGAAGAGAATTCGAAGTACTAGGAGGAAAATATAATGAAGAAACATCGTGTGCTTTTGTTAGTGACTATGGAGAGAAAAATATGAATAAAATGCTAGATGCAGTTAAAAAAGGTTTACCTATAGTAACCTTTACAATAAAAGGCTGCAATATACGGGAAGCTGTACTCGATCGATTACTCAAACTGGCCAGGCGGCATTATATGAAATATATCACATTCGACAACATAACTATGTCATCAATGATTGGCCGCGTACAGTCACACTTGCAAGTTATAGAAAAGTTGGAAAATGCCATCAACAATAGCGAAAATTTGACAATATATTATCGGACTCGAACATCCGCTGATGTGCCATTGTTACTAAAAGCATTGAAGTATAACGAAAGGAAATCCAGGTTGAAAATTTCTACATCTGAATTTAATGGTACCACCCTGAATTTATGCGCATCTAAATTAACGATTGAAGATAACGCTAAAGCGATTGCTAGTGCGTTAAGAAATAAAGGAATAGTAACTTCTCTTTGTTTGAAAAACAATTTCAGTATTCTGATTATCAACGCACTTTCGGTTAACACAACCATCAATAGTATCCGGCTTATCTGTGTTAGATTGTCCGATCATGACATCCAGAGTGTTACTGATATGTTATCGGTAAATAAAACAATGAGAGAGCTAAGAATATGTCATTCTCAGTACAATATGAAATGTCTTTGTGAAGGTCTGGAACAAAACACGACTTTGGAAAAATTAGATCTGTTCCATAATGAGATCACAGATGATAGAGCGATGATAATATCCCAGCTACTAATGACAAATACAGCGCTCCGTGAACTGATTTTGTACAACAATTATATAACAGATTTTGGCGCTGCTGCGCTTGGAAAAGCCCTTCAAATAAATACGAGCCTGAAAAGAATTGATATTGGTCATAACTGGATAGGCAATGATGGTGCTAAAGCGTTGGCCGAAGCGCTGAAAATAAACAAACATCTTGAGAGTTTAGAAATAAAACGAAATCGAATAACAGATCATGGAGCTGAAGCTGTTATAAAAGCTCTGGATGAGAACAATACATTGAAAGTACTTAATATTTACGGTAATGATATTCCAAATACTGTTGCATTACTGAGTACAGAGATCCATCCTGGAATTATTTCGCGAGTGAACTTTTCCGATGGTGGCGATGAGGATGGGATGGCTAACTTAATTTAACGAAGTAGACATTGACACCACTTTAGAATGGATGTGTGAGTGCGATGTTTACGCGAGAGGCCTTTGATCCCAGTTAGAAGTGCCTGCATTCCTAAAGTTTGAGTGAGCGTGTCAGGCATATCTTCTGTCATTGTTTTTCATTTTTCATCGTTTTCCTTATCACTGCTCCTTGATATTGATAATAGAGAGCTGTTTTTCCATTTTGCTGAGTGTTTTTTTTTCTGACATGGAAGTTAGCGTTTTTTTGTTGTTGTGAAGAAGATTGAAATAAAACGTTGAAATTAACAATAATACACTGATCAAATTTTCGTTTTTGATATATGGTCCTTACAAGAGCAGGTGAATAAGGCATCATACATCAACATTTACCCGATTTTGCCAATATTAATCTTAAACAGACTAATTATATTACCTCGACAGCTCAACCTACATTTGTTTATAAACCAAATTCTCTTTTTCTTATGGTACAGTCAAGACCTATATGTTTTCGTGAAGAACAGTTAACCTATATATTGTACACACACGTTTACTAGTCTAGTCCAATTTAACCACGTCGAAAAAAAATAATTCGGATAGATTAACAGTGAAACCTGATTTTAATTTCGATCTCAATACGGAGTTATCTGATGTATTAAAGAACGATCAAGAAAGACGTAGTACATTGCAAGATTTGATCCAAAATCTCTCAAAAGATGTTGTAAAAAAGAACGATGGTCAGCAGACAACCATTAATCTTGATGATATTGATTCAAAGTTGCTCGTCAATATTCTCCAACCGGTTCTCAATGCTCGTCTGGAAAAACGTTTGTGTGACGAACGAGTGGACGAAATGGAAAGATATAATAGATCATTCAACCTTCGCTTTCAAAACGTGCCGCCTGCGAGAAACGAAGATTCTGTTCAGTTAGTGATAAATGTAGCGTATGAAATGGGAATTGAAACCGATTACGATTCAATTGAAACTGCTCATCGTATCCCGGCTAAACAGAAGAAGTTAGGTGCTCTGAAACATCCACCAGTATTAATAGCAAGATTTCATTCTCGACCGATTCATCGTCAAGTTTTATCTTCAAAAGGAGCTTTGTCTCACCTACATGCACAACATACATTTTCAAAAGTGAAAATATCTGAAGATCTATCACGTCACAACCTTGAAATCTTCTCAACAGCGCGAGCAAAATTAGATAAAGGCGAACGTCACCGAATATATTCCAGTAACGGGCGTGTCTTCTATTATGCAGATGCTGGGAAACGTATTCATTTAAATTCCGTTAATAGTATCGATGCGATTTCCTATCAAACACAGATTCAGAATCCAGCTCAAACTGATTCAACGAGCTCACAACTTGGGTAAATAGAATATGACTCATTATTGACACTGTTAAGTTTAAAAATGCTCATAGTGTTTTTTCTTTCTTCCTTTCCTTTAGTTTCTTCCTTCTAGTTAAACTACTGTTGATAGTGTATAGGTTGACAATCTTTGCATCATTCGTCATAGGCATGACTACAAACACAAAACATTTTTTTACTCTCCCCTTGTTTTCTAGGACAACTTTCCTTTCTTTTACTTCAACACGTTGCGAGATGACTAGGAGTAGCGCTTGTTTTCTTTTTTATCAGAATGATGTCACATAATTCAAATATAATAGGAGCACATGGAAATTTACAAATATCACTTTTCAACGTGCGTAGTCT